AACAAATTTGTTAAATTGTTTAATAAAGTAAAGTATTTTGTTAAAATAAGCTTTGAATAAATTGTAATTAAAGTAAATGTTTAGTAGCTTACAAAAATTATTAATTAGATTTATTAAATATTTAACAAAATAATTTGTGATATGTATGTATATACAGGGTGTCCGAAAATTAATGCAAAAATTTGGTCACAGATTCTTGAAAGAAATTTAGGGGACACGTATTTTTTAGTTTTGCCAAATGGGCCCCCTTTTTCGGAGATACAGCCCCCCTAAAAGTAGTCCATAAGAATAGTCTTTTTCTTATATCTCAGAACCCTGTTGTACGAGAATCACTAAATTTGGTATACAGGGGTTTTTTGATATGTGGAATCTGATAGTGTTAAGGTTTTTGGCTGGGGACCCCCTTAAGACGCTTTTTGTAGGCCCCCTTGTCTTTGGAGCCACAAAACTTTGGTTGCGTATTTTTTATTTTTTTTAATATGAACCCGTAAGGAAGGACATTCAATTTAGAAACTTTTGTCTTTTGAATTTTTTTTTGTAAAACGTAGTTGGGGAAATCGGCCAGCGTATAGTCTACGCGCGAGACGTGAATTTCCATGGGCCTCTCCGTAAATCAGTTGCATTTGGACTTTTTCACGCACGGAAAATCTCACCATTTTTTTCGAGAGAAACAGAAAAAATGATAATCTGACAACTGATCAATGATAACTGTCAAAAAATTAATTTATTTGTTACTTGCGAACGGCAGCCACCTACGATTAACACGTAAGAATTTCATACGAATGTCGATATGCATTCAATCACATTTTGCCATTTTTCTCAAAAACATTACGTTTTACAAAAAAAAATACAAAAGACAAAAGTTTCTAAATTGAATGTCCTTCATTACGGTTTCATATTAAAAAAAATAAAAAATACGCAACCAAAGTTTTGTGGCTCCAAAGACAAGGGGGCCTACTAAAAAGCGTCTTAAGGGGGTCCCCAGACAAAAAACCTTAACACTATCAGATTCCACATATCAAAAAACCCCTCGAGAATCTGTGACAAAATTTTGTTGCATTAATTTCCGGACACCCTGTATATACAGGGTGTCCTGAAATTAATGCACCATACTTTAACAGCAGATTGTACGTGCAAAAATAAGAAAAAAAGTCCCTATAAAGATAGGTCAAGAAATGCCTCTTAAGGGAGCTACAGCCCCCAAAAGGAAAGCCCCTGAAGATGGTTTTTATTTAATATCTCCAAAACCGTTAGAAATATAAGAATTAAATTTGGGGAATTAATTAAACTTTTTATGACCAATAAGACGTAACAATAACAATTTAAAATTTTTTATGTGGTTTGGGTCAGATTGATAGGAAGTAGGGTTAAAACCACCTTAACTTTTTTGTACGTATCTTGTACCAGAATTTGTTGTCAGATTATAAAAGTTTAGAGTTTTGCACATAAAAAAGGTCATCTTGTTGAACTTCGATAACATACACCGTTTTCGCATAAAATCGATTTGAAAATTATTTTACATGGCATAAAAATTCACAATTAAATCACAACCATAGAAATGGACTCGCGTGGTCCTTGGAATACGGCTGCCATGTTTAGGAAAAAATAGAATAATTTAAGACAGGTGACAGTTTCATGTAGTAAGTGACAGGGTGTTTTTACTTTTTTATTTATATTAGATAAAAACCATCTTCAGGGGCTCTTTTCGGGGGCTGTAGCTCCCTTAGGAGGCATTTCTCGACCTATATTTATAGGGACTTTTTTCTTATTTTTACACGTAGAATCTGCTGTTAAAGTATGGTGCACTAATTTCAGGACACCCTGTATATATACAGTGTGTCCCAAATTGGTGATACCACTATGGGTAACTTTGTTATTATAGGAGATACAGAGTCGGTTAAATTAGAAAAGTTTTGCTCAATTCAATGATTATTTCAGATCATTAAACAGATTTTGATTTTTTTGTTCAGTTTTTGAGATAATAAATAAAAACCAAAAAGGTGCGTTATCTATTTTTAGCAATAATTTGTTTATTATTCATTCTACACTTTCAAAACTTCCACATTATCAAAGCTATTTTTCAAGGGGCTTCTAGTGGGTTTAATGGATTTTTTTTATTTTTTTTTATTTGCAAGATACGACTATAAACTTTTTTTTCTTAGGACCCAAATTTTCTGTTTGGCATTGTTGTCAACAATTTGTTGAGTAGCATTTTTTATTATCTTTTTAACGATGTATGACGACCTATAAAAAATATGATTTTTTCTTAAATTTTGATTTTTTCTGCTAAATTTTTGAAATTTGACACCAAAATCAATTTTATCAAAATTGGGCATTGTAAATGCAAAACAGTTTTGAGAATAAAACAATAACACTCACTTGAAAAACATTTTTTTATCAAAAATAAATTTAAAATGCTACAAGAAGTGAGTTATTTCACATAAACGAAAACCAGAAACATCGCTGACTAATAAATTGATAATAAAACTGTTACAAACTAATTGAACCGTTTTGCTGGATACATTTTTCACATCGACTTCTGACACTGTTGGTTACTCTCGTAAGCGTATTTCTATTGATATTATCAAGTGTATCAACCACTCTCGATAATGTAAAAGTTTTAAAAGTGTAGAATGAATAATAAACAAATTATTGCTAAAAATAGATAACGCACCATTTTGGTTTTTATTTATTATCTCAAAAACTGAACAAAAAAATCTAAATCTGTTTAATGATCTGAAATAGTCATAGAATTGAGCAAAACTTTTCTAATTTAACCAAGTCTGTATCTCCTATAATAACAAAGTTACCCATAGTGGTATCACCAATTTGGGACACACTGTATATATATATATATATATTTATATTAGACTGGTTCAAAAAAATCGAATATTTTTTTTTCTTCAAAGCCCGCATTAAAATATCTTCCTAGTAGTAAAAAAAGAAGCCTGTGAAAATTGTAGCTCTTAATATTAATATTTAGAGGTCGCTCATCGTGAATTTCTATTTTACGTTTAAATAACACAGAAATTCTTTTTTCTTAACTTTGAAATTTTATAACTCGTTTTTGAGTGAACGTATTGGAATGAACTCTATATATTTTTGAAGAAAATTGAACGTTCTACAAAAAATGTCTCTTATAATTTTTTCGTAAATTCACTGCTTTAATAGTTATTCAAGGTTGAAATTATTCCAATATGTCCACTCAAAAAAAAAGTTATAAAATTAAAAGTTAAAAAAAATTCCTGTGTTATTTAAACGTTACATTTATTATATGTCTAATTTCAACCTTGAATAACTATTAAAGGAGTGAATTTACGAAAAAATTATAAGAGACATTTTTTGTAGAACGTTCAATTTTCTTCAAAAATATATAGAGTTCATTCCAATATGTTCACTCAAAAACGAGTTATAAAATTTCAAAGTTAAGAAAAAAGAATTCCTGTGTTATTTAAACGTAAAATAGAAATTCACGATGAGCGACCTCTAAATATTAATATTAAGAGCTACAATTTTCACAGGATTCTTTTTTCACTACTAGGAAGATATTTCAATGCGGGCTTTGAAGAAAAAAAAATATTCGATTTTTTTGAACCAGTCTAATATATATATATATATAATGCTAATATGCAGGTAATAATATTTAATTGTAAATCTATAGGTAAAAACAATAAGTGAAACGATTAATCCTTACCACAACAACCTACGACATCTTTGTCCGTTCCCCAAAAACTTCTAATGGACCACAAATGTGATACATATATATTTCTATACCCGGAATCCAATTTTGTCCCTACTAGGTCAAAAAGTCATAAGTTATAACATTTTTTGGTTTTGAAAGGTTTTTAGTTATTTTTAAATATTTTGAGAACCTTTGGGTTTTTTCCAATTTATTTCATGTTAATAGGTTTTTAATTAAGCAACTTTTCTCTAATTTAACCAACCTTGTTATTCAAATAAAAAAAAACATTAAAGTGTACTCATACAAAGATACTTGGTGCACCCTTTATATTTATTTTTAAATTGAAATTTATTTTCTATCTGCACAACCTACCGCATTATCATTTAAAGCCTTAATTAAACATATGTTTAGCTTCTATTAAAAGTTTTTCTTCTGTGAAATCTCATTTCAAAGGTTTTTTTATTGCCTTAAAATGTACTAAAAAAACGTTGCCAACAAAATAATTGCAAATATGGTGATGGTTACTATAGCAATCCTTTATTACTGCTTACAGTAATAATCTTATAAAGTAGTAAACTTATTTAATAAAATAAAACTTATTTAAGGAAAAAATAAATTTATTTTATAAAAAACAAAAGCATATATTTTTTTTTAAATATCTTTGTAATAAATTTTTTTAACATTAAACATACTTTGTTGACTAGTAGAAGCTTAACATTACAGTCTAATAACATAAAACAATAATTGTATAAATTATTTATACTATACCCTATTTAAGTGAAAATGATTTAAAAATCACATAGCAAATACTTAGCATATGTTAGCAAATTAACAAAACTTTTCTTTTTGTAAAAAATAACAATATAGATAACTATTCTTAAAAATTTCTTATGTGCTATAATACTTGCAAGAACATCAACTTAAATTTACAAAAAAATTTATAGAGTAAAGCTTAATTAGCATTAAGGCAATATTTTCTTACATTAAATGCTCAAAACAGATATGTCACAAAAGAAAATTGTCAATTGTATCACAATTTGTAGTATTATTTTCCTCGTTTTACAAAAAATTTACTCGGCAAAAATTCAATAATAAATGCCAAAATCGCTGAAGAACAAATATTTATTATGAACACCTATTGAGTTATAAATATATTAAGAAAAAAATGTTAAAACCTAAACAAATATTACTCAACTCATGATAAAGTAGCTCCATCTATCGCAGGTTTGCAAATAGGGTATTCCACAGTATACTTTTTTTGTTACATGATTCACAAAAAAAATTATTACCTAATAATAAAATACAATTAAATAAATTAAAAAAAACAGGATTAAAGCTCATTTTAATAGCTTTAATGCACCATAATGGTTTAAGATATTTTATTATGTTAAATTATAATTAGGGCCTTACTAGTCAGATTATAAGACTGAAGCACAAAAAACACTTTCTTAATGCAATTTTTTTAAGTTTTTCGTGTTTTTTTTTTACATATTTCAAGATACTGTTCATTTGTGACACACAATATGTAACTATGCATCAGACTTAATAAAACTATAGCAAATGGAATGGTATTTGCTTAAGGAATGAAAATAAGTATTTCATAAAAACAAGAACATAAGAACAAATCATAACATTTTCCAGTTCAGGTATATCCTTAAAAGGCATTCATTTGCCAACATTTATTTTTAAGATTGAGGAAAAAATTAATAACGCGGTTGTAAAAATATTAAAAACCAAATATTTTACGTAAAAAGAATAAAGCAACTAAAAACAAAAGTATTAAGAATAATTGTCTTTTTCAATAGAAAAATATTTTTTTAATATTTGCACTCCAAATTCCGTACCTCAACGAAAAAAAAGGATAAACATAGAACCAACTTATCTGTTTTGCACCAAACAAGAAAATACACCTTTTTCCTACATTTACAAATTGATGGTATCCAAATCCTGTATCGGGGCTCGACTGACACCGCTGCTTCCCTGGGAGGGTGGCGGCGCCGGAGGGCCATTGTTGTTTCTCGCGCTTCCGCCCCCGGCCGTCGCCATAGTCAGCTTGCCCATCTGATTGGGCAGCTTGGCAACCTGGCGCATAATTTTTCCCGAGGTAATTAATCGGCCAAAGCCCTCTTGATGAGCGAAGGCGTAACCGGAACGAATGGATCTGCGCGCTCTTCTCGCCGAGGGAGTGCGCAGCACGTCTTGGCTCTGCCTGGAGCGCACCTGAAATAGATCATTTTTTGTTTACATGAACAAATTTAATTTTAGCGTTTTAACACTAATTAAATTAAAATAGGATATATTTTATTTAAGAATCATAGTAGACATGTATAAACATTAGTATGTTCCACATATTTAGAGAACTACACTAGTAGATGTTGCCTCCTGGTCAAAAAAATAAGAAATAGTAAATAAAAGAAACCTATACCAGTTTTAGATATTTATTTTATTTATTATTATTATTTTATATCTTAAGCTGGATTTATTGTTTATCTTTTTCGTTCCGTTTCAATCAAAAGAGATAATTATGTGTACATAGCGGGTTGCCTTACTATGCTGTCACTTGTTCGACAATTTTGGGAAATAGTAAGAAAAGTACATCTTATAAGACTTTTACGTATAATTTGTAGGTTATTCAGCGCACAACGTTCCGTCGATTTATAAATTGAATACTTTTTTACAGTCTGTTTTTTACGTATCCAGTACGTCTACGTTACGTCTACGTCCAACTATAAATCCAGCTTTACACTTTTACTATACACTTTTGAGTTATGTGACTTTTCTTGACGGAGTGGGATATGTTAGCCGCCATTTATACTTCCCAGCTTTCCAAAAAATATTAAATTTGAAATAAAAATTTTCACAAGGCCAGAAAAATAGCATTTTTTACTTTAATTTAATCATTGAGGGACTTTCGTTACTTATTATACAGTTTTCGAAAAAATGTTGTTTGATACTTGATTGCGAAATTCTTTTACATTTTCAAATGATTTTTTATGCTTGCTCACAAAAAAACTTTTATTCTCAAATGCAAAGTGGCATCTAGCATCAGAAATACTATAGACCAATCGGGTTAGGTTATTTATGGCCTAGGCCATGCAAAAACATTATTTACTACTTTGGACCAATTAAAATATTCAACTTTTGTCAGATTGATCCAACCCCATTTTCTACTTGTAATAATTGAGGGCCTTCAAATAAAAGTGGTATTATTGCAGCTGTCCTGTTAAGCAAAAATGCTTTATCTTCTTTATTACCTACTGTAGCTAAGGAATTTTTGTTTACCAGGACATCTGCACTTATACCCCTTTTAGAGGCTTTTATCTTTACTATAGGTAATTATAAACAATGAAGTTTAAATAATAAAATTTAAAGTACCAAACAATAAATCCATATATCAATCCATAGTTTTGTGGCTACAGTTTTATATTCTTTGTAAATAGTTTACATTCTGTTTATATAAAATACAAATATTAAATAAACAAGTTTTGGAACATTTTTAAATTTGCTTTAAAATTTGTTTTTGAAAACCTCCCTTCTATCTGTTATTTTAAGTAATAGATTTGTAGCCCATACAAACGCGGATAAATAAGCATACCAAAATTTTTTTTAAATTATAATAACTTGTCTTACCTGTGCAAGTCTTTGTTTTAACCGAACTCGGTCCGAGAGTGTAGGTGCGACATCTACAAAGTAGAATCGCCAAGCCAGCACGGGCATAATGGATATAATTACCACTAGAACAGTGGTAAACCAAAAATTCGCCTCCGACATGGCTTTTGTTAGAGAGCCGGCATAAGGGCCTCCAAACACGTAATTGTAAAAATAATCAGCAACAAAGAAAAAACCCAGAGATCCCCAAATCATTACGTGATTAAACACAGTCCAATATTGTGTGTCCAGGGCAATCTAAAGGAGAAAGGGAAACAAATAAATATAGTTATAAGTACACATTGTAATAACATTATGTCATTGTTAAACATAATATAACATAACTTAATAGTGCTATTTATATTTAATAATATCTGCAACCTTTGTAGTATTTTTGGGATAATAAATGTAATTAAATTATTATTTATTCATTTATTTCTTCTAAACACTTTACAAGTACTTACAAAGAAGAAAGATACATACAAAATACTCATAATGCCACTAATAATAAATACTAAACAACAATTCTTTTAAATTTGTTTTAAATTTTTATAAATTATTAATAAAAATATCAGTTTATTTGGTTTATAATACTACAACATTTGACTAGAGGCGAATTTATTTGCCTATTTGTTCGGGGACATAAGTAGAACAAATTTGAGTATATCTTAATCTTGTTTCAGTTACTTTTATATTAATAAGTTTTAAAATGTCAGGACTATCTAAAAGGTAAGTAGTTTATAAATAAAAACAGAGCAGTAATATTCTCTTCTTGTTAGTAAGCTATTTATACCATACTCAAGATTTAAGACATAGCATGGAATATCAGATGGATATAATCTAGTTAGTATAAAATGTCATTTTAAAATGATAATCTATGGATATAGTTTTAGAAATTTATTTTGGCATTTTTCAATAAGGTTAATTGATTTTTGATAATATGGGTCCTAAATGATACATCCGTATTCCAATTTAGTTCTTACAAACATTTAAATCCCTTGGGATTCATATCCAGTATTTCTAAAAATAAAACCTATCATTCTATGAGCCATTCCACGCGTAAGGGATAGGACAGTTGCCGTGTTTTTATTTACAAAATAATATTGTTCTATTATATTACCAATGTCAAATTTTTATAAATAGTTCTAAACTAAAGCTGTTTAACAAGGTTTTTATTTGGCAAAATTAGGTATTGTGGTTGACTGTTTAATTCCTTAAAAACTAATAATTTAAAGCGTAACGGACGGGACTTTGTAATAGTAAATCATGATTTTTTATTATTTATATATCTAAAAAACTACTTGGGTCTGTGGTTAAGTTATCTTTAATATTTCTTAAATACTTTGATTTGGCGTTTAAAATTATGATTTTTTTTTCACTTGACAATTATTGTATTATACGACAATATTGATATTATCCTGTTTTTAACCATTTTTTACGATCCCTATTATTGATTTTAATTTTAGTTATTATGTTTCTATTAAACCAAGGCGGTTATTTATTAATTTTAATAGTTTGTTTTGGTATACATAATATTTTATATCAAATATAAAGCTTTGAATACAAAACATCAAGGGCAACTATAGCCTAATCTATCCTTATCATTCTCTTTTTTTATTCAATTTGTTATATCTTTGATTAAAGAAGATACACAATTTAATAAAACTGCATGTTTTATTTACCTTTTTATACACATTAAAGAAATCAGGCTGTTGCGTCCTGTCAAAATTATGACATTTCAAATGTTAATATCTTATAATGAATGTCAGAATTGCTTTATCAGAATGTCAGAAGTGCTTCATCAGAATCGCATCTTAAGTTTTGAAGATTCTGTGCGTGCGGTAACTCTTCCGGAAGATGGTAAGTCAGCGTTATTTCGCTCAACGTCTTGGTGACAATCAATCGACTATATCTCGAACCCTGCTACAGACCCTCCATTACACGCAGAGCATCGCAGAGCCAGATTAACATTTGCTCAAGAACACGTTAACTGGTTAGAGGCTGATTGGGCCAACGCGTTGCAACGTTATGTTTAGAATCCAGATTTTGTCTCCATAGCAGTGATAAACGGATGAGTGTTTATAGACGGCCAGGTGAACGTTATATTCAATGTAACTTTGTTCAAGTAGTCATGTTTGGTGGAGGCTCTATTATAGTGTGGGGAGGCATCACTGCAGAAGCTCACACGGAGTTGATGGTAATCCCAGGAAGTATCACGGCAGCTTTTTACATTGAAAAAATTGTAGAACCAATCTTAATACCTGTTGCACCTTTTGTCGATGAGAATTTTATTTGTATGCATGATAATACTACACCGCATACGGCCAGGATTGTACAACAATATCTTCCGAGTTAAATATTCCAACAATGCGTTGGCAAGCCAGAAGTCCGGATCTTAATCCAATAAAAAATATCTGGGATATTATGGGCAAATGGTTAAGAGAACTTCCTCGTCAACCCAATAATCAACAAGAACTGGAAGAAAGGCTACAACAAACTTGGGAAAATATTGACCAAGAGGAAATAGGCTATAATTCGTGCAAGAAGAGGAAACATTCAGCAATATTTACTGTGTTGCGTTAATACAATAGATAATTTTGCTAATTATATTAATTGTTAAGTGTGTTAACACCTTAAGTTAAATAATATTCACATTTTGTATGAAATGCCATAATTTTGCCAAGACGCAATAGCCTGTTTTCTTTAATGTGTATAAAAAGGTAAATAAAACATGCAGTGTTATTTAAATGTGTATCTCCTTGAATCAAAGAGATAAAAAGGTGAATCAAAAAAGAGAATGGTAAGGATAGATAAGGCTATGGTTTAATCTATTTTAGGATTTGCTACTACTGCTACTTTTATCCACAGGGTGTTTCAAAAATTTTGAAAAAATCAAGTATCAGTATAACACCCCGTATATAAAAGAAACAAAGATTTATAAAAAAACTAAAGTCATAGTAAAATTCTCTAAAAGTTGTTTTACAATCCAATAAAAAGATCATTAAAATCGAATGATTTGTTTGGAAAATATTTAACAACAAAATAATGAGAAATTTATGGTGATGCGTTAATTTCTTTCGCCAGTGTAGTTTGGCTTGCTTTTCATTAATATTAACAGTTAAAAGCAATGGCGGATGATGATCATCTATTTTACAAAGGGTATCATCTACCACCAAACACTCCATGTTGTAAGTATGAAGTCTAAAATTTTATTATTTTTATTTAAAACATTATTTACTTGCATCATGCCAGTTAGGTTTTGTAAAATGATGCAATATTCTGTGATAAGATTTTTGTAGTTACTTAATTTAGGTACATTAAGGTCCCCTAAAAATAAACATTTTGTATTAAAATCATATTTTCAAAAAGTTGATCATAAATTAAACTTGGAGTACCTATTTGGAGGAATATAAAATAGTGATATATATATATATATATATATATATATATATATATATATATTAGTGTTTATATATATATATATATATATTAGTGTTTTTAAGTAATAATAATAGGCCCCCACCACGTCTTTTTCCCGTATGCATTACCTACCTAAATAAAAAAAAAACTAGAGCTCAAAAATTTGAAAAAAAATTAAAATGAAAATTTTGAAATTTTGATTTGGAATACCGCTCAATATTAGAAGATTTTATGGTGATAAACCTTTTGCCCCCTACCAAGCATCGAAGTATTAAAAAAATCAGATTTTTTAAAAATTGTACATAAAAACTAGGTATTTTTTTATATATTTCAATGGTATTTTTGTAGTGTATCTTTAAAACGTTTATATTTGCAAAAGGCTGCTATCTTTAAAACAATTTTTTTGTTAAAAAAACGATAAGTTGTACTAGGTACGGCTTTGTTCCTTCCATAATACCACGCGCAGTGCACCAATTGGTGCCAAAAGCCTTTGTGAATGTATTGTTAATTTTTTGGATTAAAATGACTACAAATTGGAAAATTTAGTCGGGGTATGATGTGACGGAAGAGACGTCAATAAGGGTCTGAAGTTATAACAAAACTGGATTAAAAATTGGGTCGGTTTATCTGCCAACTTCATATAAACCATATGGTAACGAACTACCACTAAGACATCTCTTTAAACATCTTAACGGCAAAAAAACAGGTCCTGCCGCCTTTTTAGGAGTGTTAGGCAAGCAAATAGAGCAGTTCGAGAAACTGGCTCTTGCAGATACAACCGTTCACCTTGACGTTCGCTTACTATTTGTTTATTTATTTACAAAACAATAAAATATTTTTTTTAAATTAAACATTAAAAACTAAAACGTCTTAGTCAGAAAAAAGTATAGATTAAAATATAATATACTTACTTGTGCAGTATTAACAATAACCAAAATTGCTGCAGTAGCACTACAAAACAGCATGTAATCTGACAGGCCTTTTCCATCCGGGCTTACTGCATCATAGTAGGTACCTACAAAATCCATAAATGTTATTTTAGAAACCATCAGAACTTGGTAAACATACCAAACGAAATAAAAAAGAGAATCCCGGAAACATAACATCCTTGCAGCGCGCTGCGAAAAAACTCTTTTTTGTTGAAAAATAGGTTCATATGACCAGGCCGGTACAACTGAGGATATAGCACGGAATTTTTGTCATTGACATCTTGGTCGAATATGCCGACCGCGAGGACGGGTAAAGATGTATAAAAAAGATTGTAAATCGATATATACATCGGGTCGAAAACAGTCTGAAATATGAAAATATAAAATTAGCTTTGTCAATTTTTAGATCACAAAAAATATTTCATTTACTACACTTTATGTTTAATTATTTAAGTATTTATAAAGTGTGTAACCCCAAAGTGGAAACTCTGGTTTATGTATCTCTGACCTTGTTTATTTAATTATTTAGAGTATAAATATTTATTTTTACCTCAGCACTAAATCCGCAGAAAAACGCGTACCAAAAGTGGCAGAGGGTAAATGCGAAGTTTTTATTGAAGAAATAGCGCAGAAAGCTGCACATCCTGTAATAGGACCATCGTCCATGAACAAGCAGCAATCTTTCTAGGAACCTGAACTGGGCAATCGAATAATCTGAAGCAAGAACGGCCTGCATGCCTTCCTGTCCTGATATACCAACACCTATATGGGCAGCTAAAATAAATCAAACTTTATAATCACCTATAATATAACAAGTGGTATGATTATTATCGATATTTGCAGATTGTGCTGCTTTGGTTTCAATAAGTAAATGTCATCAATTATTAATTATTATTTTTAATCACATACGCTAAAGAAGCATACGGTTTTCGCAACGCGCGCACCAAGTGGTGGCGCTCGATAGCATTATTGAAATACAAGGTTTGTCAACAATGCATTAAAGCACACTTACTGCACACTATTTTAAAATAAATAAGTAGTTTTTCACAAAAGAAAAAAGTCTTACTCGGCAAATTTTACTAGCAAAGTTTCAATTGTACAGCTTAACCGCGCACGTTATTTGTGTTTCGCGTGGCAAGTAAAAACTAAAAAACTATGGTTTAGTACTTGATTTTTTTTTTTAAGTTCCACCCTTACTTCTTAAGAAGTCCCATAAGCCAACTGAATGGCTTGTGCGGGTTAGGGGTAGGAACGGACCGCGGGCTTAAAGTCCCCTCCGAAGGACTATTACACAATAGGACAAACACAAAATAAACAGGCATACCCCTGGTGGGATTCGAACCCACGACCTCCGGCTTGTAGTCAGCAGCACTAACCACTAATCCACCGTCGGTTTAGATTTATTATTCCTTACATAGTGTGTGTATTTTATATTTAAGGTGAATTATTGTGTTTTTAATTGTAAATTAATACCAAGAACTAAATCGTTGCATTTTCATGTTTTGCAAAGGATCCAATTTGTTACGTATATTTGCTGGTGCAGAATGAACAAATTATAAGTTTGAACATTTTTAAGAAATCTAACACAAAATATTTATTATACAAACATAACCTAAAAATCAAACATTTTTATATTTTAACCCTCTAAAAACATCTGCATTTTAAAATAGAAAAAAAATATATCTACGAATTCATGGCAACATATTATAATACATAATGTAATACCCGTTTTTTGGTATTTTACCGTTGAGTGAAGACTTTCTCAATCAACGCCTTTAATAATTCATAATGCTGTTTGCATTTAGACGTCTTATTTGTTTTATGATTTTTACTAAATTTTAAATGTTTACAATTTTCACGTAAATTATTAATAAAATATGTATTTAATAGGTATAATTGATATTTACAGGGACTGTATGCAATTTATTTTTCATTCGGATTCCCCTTGTATTTTGGGAAACCGGTAAAAACTTAACCATGGATTTCCTCTCGAAAAACACTCAACAACACAGCAAATCGTTCCACAGTATTTCTCCATATTTTAAACATTTTGCGGCCTTATTCTCAAAAACACTCTTTGTAACATACGCGTTTGACAGGTGCTTATTAAAAGCTGTAGTTTTGTAACGATGATGACGGTCACGTGGTGGCAAAACTTCTTTAGCGTATAACAAACAGAATTTAAATGTCAACAAGAGTTTAACATTAATTTTTTTTTAATTTTTTAGTACAATTTTGAGTAATTAATTTTTGAGAAAATAATGCACCACTATATACTTGTTATAGTAATGATAAATCCTACCATGGAGAAAATTAAAATCTCGGCGTCTCATTGGACAGTAACCGTGGAGAAAGAAATCAATTTTATCTATTTTGGTTTCATAATGACTTCATTATAACACCGCTTTTGGTTCTTTAATGAGGTACTTTATTCCACCCAAAATTTTGATTTTATAGGTTGGCTACTGGTAAAATACAATTTTGAATACCTATAGGTTATAATATTTTTATGATTTGTTTTCTAGTACTTACGAGACTTTTCGTGCAATAAATTTTGTTTAACACCAAAGAAAATCCTTTTTTCTTCTTTAACAGCCGCTTATTGTAAATACTTATTGTAAATTAACGACGCCATAGCGAAAGAATGTGATAATGTTTGAAAGGTTAATGACCTTTCAAACTTCAAACTGAGATACCAACTATGTAAAGTAAAATTCGACCAAATTAAATATAAGGTATAAAATTAATTTGTTTTATGAAATGTTTGCAAAATAGATAAAATAGCATAAAGAACTCATGTCATAAGACCTTTTGACAAAATTACGTCTTATGACATTAGTTCTTTAATATACTATTTTTCAAAGTTTAAGATTGATAATAGGATTAGAGAATATGATTATAAAATGGTATATTGTTCAACGATTGAGAAAGTTGGCTATTTTCATGCGAATGGAAATGGCCGTTTTTCAAGAGTTGAACACTATACTTTTTCTAATTTTATTAAAGTGCTTAGTACAATTTTGTGTAATTACCATAAGAGATCAATTTTTTCTACACTTTATGACTGAGCCACTATCTCAATTGAAAACGTCTAGGAAATTATTTAATATGATATGTTGCTGTGATAAAACTCACGACAATGGGATACTGGAATTTCATTGGTTCTAATATTAATGAATTGTATTGACTAAACAAATATATAATTGCAAAAATGTAACGGATGACATTTTAATTTATTTTGTATATAATTTAGTCTTTTAAATTTTTATTATACTTCTCCGAAAATACTATATTTTCAAGTCTGCATAGATACCAGATCTTTAGGGTGCCACAGCATAGTATTTAAGGCTTTAAAAACATTAATTGTTTAATCCATGTTTTAAGCTTTTAAGTATAACCTAATTTTAGAGCAGTCCATAAAACCCGTTTAAACTGCTAACCATATTCATGAATGTCCACTAGGGTGCTTCAAAAAATAAAATTTAGGTTTTTTTTCGCTCTTACCCTCTCAAATGTTTCTATTTAATATAAAAAAAATCCTCACCAAATATGGGCGTTCCAGCTCAACTCTAAGAGGTCGCTGTTTTTATTTTAGTTTACAATTTAATTAACATGGGAAAAAATAATTTTATGTTTGGAATTTTATAGCTCTGTATCAGTTTCTTATATAAAATGTAACGCTCTACAAAAAAGGTCTCTTATTATTTTTCGATGAATTGATTTCTTTTAGAGTTATTAGAGGTCAAAGTTTGATTAACATCAAATTTTCTGGTTTTTTTAATTTGCTTAGCAACTATTATAATATAATATATGAGTCGTCTAATTTCAAAAGCGGCCATCTCCTTTGAAAAAAAATTCCAAACAGTAATGGGTAAAAAATAAATATATTTAGAAAAACTTGTTCATATGGAAACAGAAAATATTTTTTTAGATTAAAGTTTTACTTAAAAAAACATATTTTAAAAGGATATGATCATTTTAAGTACATTTTTGTACTTAAAACATCAATGGAGATGGCCGGTATTGAAACTAACATAAAACTTTAATGAATTATTTTCCTTGGAAACAGCCGTTTTTGTTCGGATATAATTTGCACTAATATACTACGTAATATTTTGATTTTATTGGTGTAAATAACTCATTTAAAAAAAAATTGGAGATGGCCCCTTTTGAAGCTAGACGACTCATATGACATAAAATTCCCTAAAATAGCCCTGAATATCAACTGATATTCAAAACGACCGAAATTTTCCGAAGGTCGCCGAGTGATCCGCACACAGATTAATTCAATTAATTTTTTTAGGTTATCATTGATAACTTAGATTTTGACCAAAAAACCTGAGGGATGATAAAACCCCCTAAAAACTTTCGTATTCCCCCTAAGAACTTCTCCCTAAAACTCCCCCCCGTTAAAAACAACCATAAATATAGGAGTGAAACCCCTGATTTTCACAATTAAGTTCAATATGTTTGTTCAATACTTGGCCAATTCTAACCCAAATTTTGTTTGCTGGGGTATGTGCGTCCGAGGGTTAAGATGGCAATGTTCCGAGAACGTAACATTGTTCAGCGGTGAAAAGCACTAGTGAGAAATAGCTGTTTTAATTGACTTGTCTTGCGTCACGCATAAATATTAGGTGGGACAAATTATAAACTCCAGAAACACTAAGCGATTTGTAGCGACTAACCTTGCTGGTTACGGTTGGTATGTCCCCCACTTAAAAATTGTGTCGTCATCCGCTGAATTACGTAGGGGTTAAGTTTCGCTAAAACGCGGTTGGTATTCTGTGGTTCAAATATTTGTTTATATCGACATAACCTAACAAAATAATGGATAAGTTATGTTTGTTGTTATTTAACGCAGATGAATTATTTTTTAGTGATTTTATGTTTAACTTGTTACTTCTAAATGAAAACAAGACTAAAATAATTTGCAATATTCTTAAAAGAGAAATTCACTTTAGAATGCCTGTGCCGGACACTTAACAATTGTTGGCTAGAAAGCTATCATGAAATTGTCTTTTTTCAACTATTTAGATTGAAAAAAAGTACATTTGATAAACTGCTGAATATTATATTAAAAAATGCTGGTAAAGAAGAAATATTACGTTTATAACTTTACCATTTAATAGAATATTAGCAGTTTGCATATCACAAATTGCTTTGTAATCCTCCCCTTCATAATTTAAGGTTATTTCTATAAATTCCTTATCCATTTTTAAAAATTGAAATAAACAGAACAACAATAAACATAACCTCTTCTTTCGTAACCAACTCTAACTCACGTCTTGAACAGGGTTACGACCGGTAACGGAAATGACGAAAATTTATGACGTCATTACGCCCTCCCCTACCATACCGCTTCCTCGCAGAAATGAAATGGTCAGATAACCGATCATACCCGGTAAGACCTAGTTACTCGCTACAAATCGCTTACTGTGTTGACAAATGTCCAAGATTTAGTCATTGACATACAGTCATGAATATTTAAACTTACTTTTTTGTCATAGAGTTAATTGTGGGGGCGTATTACAGAAACTACTACTACCTCACACTTTAAAACTGCATATTTCAAGACAAATAATTCGAATTTTACGGAAATTTTAAAAAATGGTAAAAATAAAATCTTTATTATATATTCAAAACCAATTACAAAAGTGATTCATAATAAAGTATACCATTCCCATGCTTGCTGCTTAAAACTTTCCCCACAGGTTGGGAAAAAATGAAATGGTAATAAATATTAGTAACAAAAAATGTTTTTTTTTCTTATGAAGTTTTTGTTTTCAAGGTACAATTTTTGTTTAATACTTTAAGATAAAACACAAAATCCTAGCAATTGCTTTAATTTGTACTGTTCTAGTAGAAGTTAAACAATTAACCCTGAAGGATACTCATTGGCGTACATACAGATATAACCGTAGGGTTTTATTATTGAGATAGAATAATCTCAATGGGTTATATAAAGAAAAATACAGGGTGTTTCATACCAGGAGGCGAAAAATGAAATTCTATATTCAAAACGTCATTCTAAATAAAAATCTTTAATACTTTTTTGTTCTATCATTTTTCGTTTTCAAGTTATTCGAGTTCAAAGTTTTGAATTCAAACAATGAAAGGATAATAATATGCCATAATAGGATTCATAATTCTAGCAACTAAAATATACATCCATGGAAACGTATAAGTATTTAAGTTTATAATACAGTTCATTTTTTTTTATCTGGACTGCGGCAACGTTGCAAACTTAGAGGTTTAGTTGCCAAATATTTCTATTATATTGGCAGCTATAAAACTAAATTAATATTTGTGGTTAAGAAATCAAAAAATATTTACCTACCTTTTAATAGATTTTTTACCAAAATAGTATTTCGTTATTGTCCTGTAGGATAATTATTTGTACAGAGACGTTTTTTAAATCACATAAATACATTGGAGTTTGATATTCCTCTGTTTAAATTTAATGATTTGACAAAAACTGTCAAATTATGTAAAACAGAGATACCAATCCTAAAAATACTAATCAAACTGACATAAACAACCAACTTAATAAAAAAACACTAGTCCAGATAAAAAAAATAACCTTATGTCACAGACCTACCTAGGTCTGTGCCTTATGTGGTCTTCTGCCTTATTTAAGTAATACAACCTGTCAGTTTATTGCTAATATGTCAGCAAGAATTATTGATTGACAATTGACCAATTTGTAGTTTATACTATTTATTTTTATCTGTAATATTACAGGACATGGCCTTCAGCATTAATACAAGCTTGGCACCGCAAAACAACAGAATTGTAAACTCGTCCAAAATCTTGTACATTTTGTATTTGCTCCGCCGCATCTATTATTCTTTGCATAAGCTGCTCTTCGGTGGTAATTTCGACTGCATAGACAAGCTGTTTCATGTGTCCCCATAAATAAAAATCAAGCGTATTTAAATCCGGTGACCTAGCAGGCCACAATATTGGGCCACGTCTACCAATCCACCTTCCATTGAAGTTGTTATTCAACCAATTCACTACATTTCTACCAATATGGGATGGTGCCCCATCGTGTTGAAACCACATTCGATTTAGCAAACCCACAGGGACATCTTCCAGCATTTCATTTTGTAAGAGCAAGTTTATTTTGTAAGAACATTAAATAAGATTCGGCATTTAGTCTATTGGGAACCCTGGTGGAAATGATTCTACAACATTCTACAACATTCTACAACATTCTACAACATTTAACGCGAAAACTACAACTTTTTACAATTTTTTACAACTTTTTGTATTGTTGTAGAGAGTTGTAAAGACTTGTTATTTATTACAAATTTTTACAACATTTTACAACAATAATTCTACAACATTCTACAACATTTAACGTGAAAACTACAATTTTCTACAATTTTTTACAACTTTTCGTTGTTGTAAAGAGTTGTAATTTATAACAAATTTCTACAACATTCAACGAAAATTATTCTACAACATTCTACAACATTTAACGCGAAAACTACAATTTTCTACAATTTTTTACAACTTTTCGTTGTTGTAAAGAGTTGTAATTTATAACAAATTTCTACAACATTCAACGAAAATTATTCTACAACGTTCTACAACATTTAACATTTAACATTTACAATTTTCTACAATTTTTTACAACCTTTCGTTGTTGTAAAGAGTTGTAATTTATAACAAATTTCTACAACATTCAACGAAAATTATTCCACAACATTTAACGAAAATTATTCTACAACGTTCTACAACATTTAACGTGAAAACTACAATTTTCTACAATTTTTTACAACTTTTTGTATTGTTGTAGAGAGTTGTAATTTATTACAAATTTTTACAACATTTTACAACAATAATTCTACAACATTCTACAACCTTCAACGTGATAACTACAATTTTCTACAAATTTTTACAACTTTTTGTTGTTGTAGAAAGTTGTAACTCAAAACAAATCTCAACAACATTCAACGTAAAACTATAGGTACATCATTTTTTACTTTCTGAAGTTGAAAGGCGTCAGAATATTTTGTCCTGTTGCGATAAATAAAGAATTAATGAGAATTATATTGATAAATAGACGATAATATATTGATATTGAAGCAAGAAGCCTGTAACATATAAGGTTAGCACAAAATATCATTAAATTAGCAAAAAAAGTGCAACAAAGCAGAAAAACCAGAAAAGTCAGTGTTGTCAGCTGACAGAAGTTTCCATTGTCAGTTGATTAATTTTCCAAATTAATAAAAACAGAAAAACGATTGAACAGGGCCTGAAGCATAAGCAGAGAATTCAAGCTAGAAAAGATAATAAGTTCGAGAAATTACGTTTATTTAAAAATTCAAAAATAAATTCAGACGATTTCGAAGAGCTAACTGACCAATCCGATACTAATATGACAACACCAATAGAATTAAATGATAAAAATATAAAAAGAAAGGCAGACGAAGGCCTGTCTGCAAGCAATAGTATAACTTCTTTAAATGGAAACACCGCTAATGATAATAACAATCCAGAAAATAATTAACAAAATTTTCAAATCCCAAATAAAACAATTCCTTTTAAGAGAGTGAATAAAGGCAATATTAAGAAACCTGAACTAGTTATAAGTAATAAATATGAAGGTTTAGCAATTGAAAATGTAATTCCAAAATTTAATAATCAACCAGAAGCCCAACCCATGGAACGTAATGATAGTCAGGAAGCTACAACCAGCCAATCTGGAAGAAATGTAATTCTTAACATTCCAGACTCAGCCCGGCCAAAACCCAAAGAAAATCAAACCACCTCCTTTAGTCATTGCTGCAAAATTTGATTCACATAGTGAGGTAATAAAGGGACTTAAAAAATTATCAATGGTAAATTTAATATAACATAATATGTACAATATAATAATATAATATAATATACAAAAAACAATATTGTAGTCAATGTAGACGACATCAGCGACTACAATAGATTGCTGTTAAAGTTAATAATGTTTTCTTATAAATCATTAATTATAAGAAGTATCACCCACCAAAAAAACAAATGTTGCGCCACAAAGTAAGTATTTTTAATTTAATCTTTTCTTTTAAAAAAATAAATTATAAACACTTAGATTTAGCAAAGTTAAAATAATATAAAATAATAGTTTTAAATTGGACAAGCAACAATTTAAAAAAAACAATTTAAACAAATTTCGTAAGTCTAAAATTTTCTACAAGATATTACGCGGATTGGGACATTATTGTTATATTTCGTAGAAAATTGTTAAAAGTTGTAGCATAGTAATATATTAGTAAACTACAACTTTGAACAATTTTCTACGAAATATAACAATAATGTCCCAATCCGCGTAAAATCTTGTAGAAAATTGTTCAAAGTTGTAGCATACTATGATATTAGTAAGCTACAACTTTCTACAAAATATAACAATAATGTCCCAATCCGCGAAATATCTTGTAGAAAATTGTAGCAAAAGCTACAACTTTGAACAATTTTCTACGTTATTTAAAATAATATAGTAGTGTCTTGTAGAAAGTTGTAGAGAATCATTAAATGTTGTAGCAAAGTCGCGTAGAAAGTTGTAGCTTTCGCGTTAAATGTTGTAGAATTATTTCCACCAGGGAAGGACTATAATTGGCAGAATTCGCCCGTTGAAAATGCCACCCCAGACATTAATTGAAAATCTGTGTTGGAAATGTCTCACTCTCATAGCATGTGGATTTTCCAACGACCATACATGTTCATTATGGGTATTATTAATACCATCTCTGGTAAAAGTAGCTTCATTTGAGAATACAATAGAAGAAATAAAATTTGGATTTTGCTCATGTTGACGAAGCAGCCATTGACAATACAGAAGTCGTGGCTCGTGATCATTTGGCTGCAAATGCTGAACATTTTGCTTATGGTACGGGTGCAATACTTCTCGGTGTATGGTTCTCCAAACAAAGCTATGAGAAACTTCCAGCCTACTAGCAATACGTCTGGTACTAATGCCGGGTTCGTTAAGTACATCGTCAATTACTTGCTCTTCTTGACCAGCATTGTGTCTGAAGTTCGCACCTCCTGTATGCTTGCTTCCAATACCATTTCTTCGGAGTCTTTGATATGCGTCTGAAAATACACGGCGGGATGGTTGTCGTTTATTTGGAAATCTACGCAGATATTCTCGGGAAGCTGCAGAAGCATTTCCATTTACGTACCCGTAAATAAAAACAATGTCTGCATATTCTTCATTCGTAAATTCCATTTTGTTTATAAATTTACAATAAACTGACAGGTTGTATGACAAATTTGTAAGGCAGAAGACCACATATACGTTTCCATGGATGTATATTTTGGTTGCTAGAATTATGAATCCTATTATTGCATATTGTTATCCTTTCATTGTTTGAATTCAAAACTTTGAACTCGAATAACTCGAAAACGAAAAATGATAGAACAAAAAAGTATTAAAGATTTTTATTTAGAATGACGTTTTGAATATAGAATTTCATTTTTCGCCTCCTGGTATGAATCACCCTGTATAATAAGCCAATGGAAAAAATTTTTTTTGTTTATTATTTTTTTATTTGCAATTTATTTTAAACAAAATTTGAGATAGAATAACTTAATTTTTTTGGACCTATTAACATTCGCGAATTTTTCACGGAACCCTATATTTTACTAAGGAATTCATCGTTAAATTTATTCACAACCATTATGTTACACCCTTTCTTATTGGCCTAGATTTATAACATATTTAAAATATAATGGACCCATAATTCAAGCTAACCTACCTTTTATCATAGAAACATCATTTGCTCCATCCCCTATGGCCAATGTTACGGCTTGCTTACTTTTCTTTATTAGTTCTACAACCAAAGCTTTTTGTAGAGGAGTAACCCGACAACATATTACCGATTTGCAGTGCATAACCACTTCTAAAAATAATCCTTCCAGTTGAGGGTGCAAACAGTGTACAAGAGAATGTCCGTTGATGACTATAGCAAAGTCTGCGTTCGCGTCCTCAGTTTGTTCAACGGGACTGTGGTACTCCAGTTCCTTGCTGCAATAAAACCAATCAAAGGAAAATTTTAAAAAGTGGCAATTTTATATATAAAATATTTCATTTGTTTGGATATACTTGGTAAGAACCTTAAATAAAGAGCAACAAAGGCGTTCACTTTGTATGTCCAATCTTTTAATGTGGAATAGCAAAATCGCCGACAGAACAAAAATATGATTCAAAATATGCACTTGATGAATGCTTTCAGGCCAAATCACTTTTCTCGCTATAAAAGTTTCGGTCGTTAGTGATTTTCTCATTTCACACCACATAATAGGGCACACTTTTTACTATTTCAGTTGACAAACTACATATGTGCCATTTCACGCCAGGCGGGCAAAAAAAAATAAGTTTCCGATTTTGTTTACATTTAGGTATTTCATAACTCTAAATTAGATGCCTGATTTCCCCAACGTCGATTAATTTTAATATGCAGTTAAATTGTTTATACAATTGTATCAAACGAATTCAACTGCAGATTGTAGATAACCGACATTGATGAAACCAGGCATAATGGTCCTAAGCATTACCCCATTTTATTAGATTTCGACACCTAGGGGCAACGCTATGAGCTTTTGAAGTTTTAGCGCCCAAGGTACCTGTGTTACAGGGCTTTGTAACGTGATTTTTGTAGCAAATTTTATGATCATTCAGGTTATCAAATCAAAATTGTTTGTGGTTTAGGGGTTTAGTGAAAATATTCAGACTTGCTCAAAACCATAACACAAAAAATTTAACAGGTGTCCCCAAAGATGATATCTAGTTTTAAATTAAATTTTGTGTGGTTATTTATCATTGTTATGTCTTTTATCTTAAATAGTAGTTCTGTTTAATAATAAAACTTTCCGAGTTTAATATTTTTTGTCATTTGGCTGGTTTTGCCTTAAAATCTTTAAACCTTTTTATCATATTTATTTAATTTTAAATTTATACTTAATCCCGGCGCATTCGCCATTTTGTAGTCAAGTTAATATTACTTTATACGTATGTACTTAACTTTTGCGATCAAAACTCGGAAAAACAATTTCAGAAGATTCATAAAAATTGAATTTCGATATAAGTCGCTTTTGGCTTTGCACACTTTTTTATTTTGTGTGTCTGTGTGATGACTTGAATGAGCATTTTTGTGAACTTTAATGCCAAATATGGTTTTTGTGTTTTGAGCTAAAATTTGCATATTTATGTTTTTTAATGCTAACAACAATAGTTTGTTGTTGGCCGCAAGAATAAAAAACGATGCCAAAATTATTATTGCCCTTGGGCATATTAAAAAGGAAATTAAAATTGGCTTAAAAATCTTTTTATGTGTATTATGCCTGTAAAATTTGGTAATAAAGTTAACACTAGTTTAGGTGCTAAATCATCTGCACCTGGCTTTTTTGTTAAAAATTTCAAAGGCGTAAATCGTGAAAAAAATATTTTTTAATGATTTGTTAAATTAAACAAAATCAGACAACTTTAATTTTTTTATTGCCGCATAGACACAAATCTAAAGAATTATGACAATTTTAATTTTTTTTTTTGAAAACTTTAAGGGCACGCATAGACTTTTGTGACGACGCACCATGGTCAAAAAGCACCGTTTTGCAATTTTAATAAAACATTTTTTTTATAAATTTTATATTTATATTTTAGCGTTCATAAATGATTGAGCTTTGCAAAGCGCTCGAGTTCTACATTTATACTTTATTTTATTGAAAAACGTTCTTAAAAATCCTACTAAATATTTAAAATATAAAACATTTGTAAAGCGCTCGAGAAAAAACAAACCTTAGGTCTAAAAATTTTACAAAAGCCGATTGAATTTTGGGCAGCATAGGCGTTTGTGTAGTAACTCTCGACTTCGGAATATACATTACAAATTATTATTGGACTTTTCTAAAATAATTTTTTAGAACCAAGGTACTGTTTCTCATAGCGCGTACGTCACATATTGGTTTTTAATATTTTTTATAGAAAATAAAAAATCAAATATGTATATTACATAGTATAACTAGAACGTGATGTCTGGACATAGATCTATAGGCACGTACTTCTTTGGGTAAGTACGAGTTACCGCGAGCTTCCGTATTTGCTAATTCTTTGTGTACCTAAAGGAAAGCTTACTGCACAATTTAGCATAAAGAACACCCGGTGAATCGTAAAAGATTGTAATTATTGTCACATTTTTATTTTTATTAAATTTATTTCTTTAAAAAATGAAATATGATTACTTTAAAATGATCATCATCAATTTTTATTGAAAGGCTATGTATAGCCACAATTGCCAACACCACAGGATCTGACGCTAAAAATGAACAAATTGAATCCGCGGTGAGAGTGGTAGTAGTTGATAGCAGCTAGTTTGTATAAAATAATTAATTTTATTGTTAGCCACAATCTGTTGCTCTACAAAAGTCAGTGGGTGCCCTAAAATGATTAACTTAAAACCTAGAAATGTTATAAAATTGAGGAGAAAAAGTAACAAAGTGCCAAAATTATTAAACTGAGCAATTAAAACAAAAATTTGTCATAGCAAAACATTTGACATAATGCTCTAAAGTTTACTTCTTTCTACGACAAAATATGCACAACAAATTTTAAAATAATAAAAAAAAATAAAAAGCAATTTTGAGAAATGGTTAGTGTCAGTATATTATTTAGATAAATTAGCGCTTGGCTTCTTTGTAATATCATTTCTCAATTATTAATATATCCTTTATTGCTCCTTAAATATTTTAGGATAGAAAAAAAAATTAAAAAAAAATAATAAAAGAAAATTTTTTTAGCCAATATTTCAAAATTTTATATGTATTAGCAGATGTAAAAAAACTTATATATTAAAAAAGTGTAAACTACTGTAAAATAAGTGTAAACTCTGTTTCAAAAATGAATGTGTGCTAAGGGAAAAAAATTAATTTGTTTATTAATTATCTTGAATCAATGATTATGATTAAATTTATGTTTGTATGTTTTCAGTGTGAATAATCAAAATTATTACAATACAATAAAATATATTGACAATAGCATACAAGTGTTGTTCAACATAACAAGAACATATTATCTTTACAATTATAAAAAGATAAAGTTTTTTGGATGTTTTTATATAAAGTAAAAGCAAACATTTTTCATTGATATTAATTTTGTTCTGTTCAATATTACCTATATTAACTATAGTAACTAGATACTAAAAGTCAAGAATAAAATTTGTTTAGAGCAGTATTATTATAATATAATAATTAAAAATATGTAATAAATGTTCCAACACTTCTTTGCTTTATAATCAATATAAACAACTAAGATACAAGCACACACGATGTATTAGAGAGCAGGTAGATTAATATTAAATATTATAAACAAATATGAATCTAACTAATTGTAGAAATGCTATATCTAGTGAGGGCACTAATACTGCCCTGTTAAGCTAAAAGTCCGTATCTGCACTATTAAGTACTAAAGGAAAAAAATCCGTTTTTATTGTTTTTATCAATTAAAATGATTTTTTGTCATTTATTACTTATTGCAGATACAGCCTTTAGCTTAGCAGGGCAGAATATATGTTAGCCATTAATTTTTATTCTATTCTATGTCAAAATACCTAGATTTAACTAGAAAACGTTGTTAGTGAATAATTAATTTGGTATTATAGAACCATCGGCCAAAAAAAAGAATAAGGAGCAAAATAAGTGGGTAAGTCTATGTTAAAACAGCAGATGTTACACTACCCGGCAATAATGGGTCTTTTAAATGCAAAAATAATTAATGTTTTCAGGGTGATACATTAGAAAACTAGATGGGCTTAAATTAGTTTATAAATTAAAAAATCCGATTTAATCTGATTATGCAGTTGGGGCGTTTTGATATAAAACATTGCAAAACTTTAGAAAATGCGGCAATTAAATTTTTTTAAATTTCTTCTTAATAATACAGGGTGGACCAAGTATCTTTCTAGGTATGGCCCATACCAACTTTTGCCTAATTTAACTGACTTTGTAGCTCTTTAAATAAAAAGACAAGGTCAGTTAAATTAGACAAAAGTCTATTAAAATGGAATTACAAAGTTGCAAACAAAATCATTAGTTTTTAAATAATTTGAAAAAACTGAAAACCTGTCAAAACCAAAAATCGTTATAACTTCATTATTTCTGTGAATTTTGAAAAAAAGATTTACATGGAAACATACCTACACATTTATCTATATTTTCACCCTTTTTGTGATTTGTTTCGCCTACTAAATTTTAAAATACCACTATTATCCTTTGTTTTTCCTATGACCACCCTTTTGGAATTTTACCTGGTTAGATAGAAAAAAAATGTATCAAACTACATAAGTAATGGCTATCATTATAAAAATAAAATATGGTGTTGGTAACTCAAATTTTATACTATACTATTTGCTGTAGCGAATAAATTATAAAAATGTAAAACTTACTTTGGTTCAAAATTCCCAGGAATAAAAAAGTTAAAGATTTTTGGTTTTGAAAGATTTTTAGTTATTTCAAATATATTGAGTACCGCCGGCTTTGTAGCTCTTTAAATAAAAAAATACCCATAGAGTATACATAGATGGATACTTATTGCACCCTGTATACTACATTAACCTACAATAGTGCACTTTAGCTTGGATATGTAATCAATATTAAATGTGCTAAATTGCTAAACAAAGAGTCTACAAAATGACCAACAGGATCTTTTTACTTCAAAGTATAACAACTTATTTCATATGCATTGTTGTCAGGTAGTATGCTCTTTAAATTCTTGAATAATCAATATTTGTTTTACCATAGAACAGATTGTTAAAAAAATATATTGGGATTAAAAAGGGAGAATTATAGAAAACAATTGAAAAATAAGACTTGTTTCGTTAATACAAAAGAACCATTCCGTCCGATTTCTACCTTGCTCTCATTGACAATCGATCGCATGTTTCTATCGCGTCCCACCTGAAGGTAACGACGCTGACGGCAGGCACAGTGATCGCCGAAACTCCACCGCCGTCTACGCCTTGTCCCGCCCCTTTGTTAGCCGTCGATGATGACGGGGCCGAATGATGAGCGTGGTTCATGGAGGCATCGTTGGGACCGTCTCCGTTCTGCGCTGCGAGAGGACTGCGCGGTTGGAACGTCTGAACGATTTTGATGTTGTCGCGAAACTTTAACAGCTGCTGTTGCACTTCCTCAAATGTGGAGGCGTCAACGATGAAAACGTCCACCATCTCATCGTTTAGCAGTTGACAGGAGTAGCCGATGTTTATGGCAGTTTCTGAATTAAATTTTTGTGAATATGAGCGTTAAATATTTCCATTTAAGGGGGTTCGGAAGGTATGGTAGGATAAGTAATAATTAAGACCCTTCTTAATATACCGCTGGATTTGCAAGTAAATGCAGTTTTCAAAAAGCTTTCATCTATACCAAACATAATCGACCCTCTCTGTCTGTGGGAAGGATGTGAGGGAAATCTTGAAATTTGTTATTATATGACCCTTACGAGCACGAAAAATGCATTAATTAACGAATTATGGTGAATAAAGTTTCCTTTTTTATTACTGCAAGTGGTCTAATCGTGAGGCCAGGTAAACCTTCCGAACCACCTTAAAACCTGTAAAAATGTCACTATTTTTAGTCTTTAAAGAAGGAATTTTCTACTCATATTTAAATCATATTCAAGATTCAAACGCTTCATTTGAAAAATAAATATTATTTATTTTTTGGGCTTGTTATAGTTGTCCCAGTTATTCTACGAGGCAAGTCGATGTTTTGTACAAAAAATAACACACAAAAATACAAAACCAAACCAAACAAAAACTTGATCTTAGTATTAAAGCGTTTTAAAACATATTTAACCTCAAATTACCCTGTATAATATGTGATTTTTACTCAGAAAATCACAGAAGGGAATAAAATCCAATTTTTTTTAAAATGGTCTGGACCAGATAAAAAATAAGAAGTTGTAAAATGTTACTGTTGTTTTATTAACATTCAAACAAAAACAATACTTAGTTGCGACAATAAATAATGGAAAAGTTTTGGTTCATTTATTGTAAATTGATACGTCAAATTTTGGCAATGTAGTTGATGTTTCTTATTTTGACTCATCTGTAACAAGTTTGGAATACAGCAAATTCCGCTCGAGTGAAGAGTTTGTCACACGAGCCGAAGGCGAGTTTGATGGTTTCACGAGAGCGGAATATGCAATTCCAAACGTGTTTCAGACTATACTTTTTCTACGTTTCCAAAAAATACCATAGAAAAATAATTTAATTGAAAGAAAGTGAGGTTGGATTGGTCTAAAATTTGTTAGATATTAAAAACAGAGATGTCGGCACTAGTGTTTATTCTGTCATCTGATGATAAAATATTTAATTCTGTAACACTTTACGGAATATATGTCATTCCATAGATAAAAGTGATATTTGAATTGTCAAATTCCGTAATAGGAGTAGAAAAAAATAATTTTTGGTGTCAGTGTTCTTATAAAATGTCTTTTTATACGACCACTATATGAAGACATTAGATGCAAAACTCGGTTTTTGAAATTTTTTTAAAAATATATATGTTATCCTATTTATGTACAGGGTGGTCCACGTAAGGTGACCCATATACTTATCTCAGAAACTACTGGGGTCACAAAAAATTTGTAAGGAACAAATATTCACGAAGTAAAAAATATTTTTAAAATATTATATTTTCATTTATACAGGGTGTTCGGTTTTCCTTGGGACGATACCAACTTTCTTATTTTCAATGGAACACCCTGTATTTTTTTGCATTTTTGGATTCTTCCCACTCTTTTAGGTATACTTTGTAAATATATTAAATAAGAAAATGTTAATACTTATTGAGTAAAATTAAGATTTATTAAAATTTCTCTAAATGTAGACACTCGCTAAAAGTTAAAAATAACCAACTAAAAGTTATTATTTTTTATATTATGTAGTATCCATCTCTTTAATAATAAGTAAGCTATAAGTTAATTATTATATTTCTTGGAAAATATCATACAGGGTGTTTTCTATGTCCCGTTGAAAATAGCGATTTTAAAAGTTTAAAATCTTGTTTTTATTCAATGGAACACCCTATATATTTTTGCATAATTTGATAGAATAAGTAATTACCTTTCTTTTATATATATATGTCCTATACCTAAACCTAACAGAAAAAAAAATATTCGCATTTTTCACAATTAGTAGCTACAATTACCTTAGTTAAATTTTCATTATTCAAAGAAAAAACCCTGTATAATATTTTCCAAAAAATAAATTAATTAACTTATAGCTTACTAATTATTAAAAAGATGAATGCTACATAATATAAAAAATAATAACTTTTAGTTGGTTATTTTTAACTTTTAGCGAATGTTACATTTAGAGAAATTTTAATAAATCCTCATTTTACTCAAAAAGAATTAACATTTTCTTAATTAATATATTTACAAAGTATACCTAAAAGAGTGTGTAGAATCCAAAAATGCAAAAAAATATAGGGTGTTCCATTGAAAATAAGAAAGTTGGTATCGTCCCAAGGAAAACCGAACACCCTGTATAAATGAAAATATAATATTTTAAAAATATTTTTTACTTCGTGAATATTTGTTTCTTACAAATTTTTTGTGACTCCAGTAGTTTCTGAGATAAGTTATGGGTCACCTTACGTGGATCACCTAAAAAAAAATATTCGCATTTTACAAAATTAGTAGCTTTGCGCGTATGGTAATTATTATAGTAATATATATTTATATATAAAAGCATTTTTATTTGTTGTTATTGAAATTTATTTATTTGAATAATGAAAATTTAACTAAGGTAATTGGAAAAAAGCTACTAATTGTGAAAAATGCGAATATTTTTTTTTCTGTTAGGTTTAGGTATAGGACATATATATATAAAATGAAAGGTAATTACTTATTCTATCCAATTATGCAAAAATATATAGGGTGTTCCATTGAAGAAAAACAAGATTTTAAACTTTTAAAATCGCTATTTTCAACGGGACATAGAAAACACCCTGTATAATATTTTCCAAAAAATATAATAATTAACTTATAGCTTACTTATTATTAAAGAGATAGATACAACATAATATAAAAAATAATAACTTTTAGTTGATTATTTTTAACTTTTAGCGAGTGTCTACATTTAGAGAAATTTTAATAAATCTTAATTTTACTCAAAAAGTATTAACATTTTCTTAATTAATATATTTACAAAGTATACCTAAAAGAGTGGGTAGAATCCAAAAATGCAAAAAAATACAGGGTGTTCCATTGAAAATAAGAAAGTTGGTATCGTCCCAAGGAAAACCGAACACCCTGTATAAATGAAAATATAATATTTTAAAAATATTTTTTACTTCGTGAATATTTGTTTCTTACAAATTTTTTGTGACTGAGATAAGTATATGGGTCACCTTACGTGGACCACCCTGTACATTACTGCACTGCCTACAGCATAACTAAGTAAACCAGATGCATAAGTTAATATTTGTTAAATAAAATACATTTAAAAACTTAACGCAGATGCAAAACTGGGTATTTGTTTCTTCCTGTCGGATGCAAAACTAGGTATTTGCTGTTGACCAATCACGTCGCTAGTATACGCATTACGTGACGACATAACAATTACCTGATTAACAATTATTGTTATTTTTTGGTATTTGCACTTTTTACTTGCAAAACTTGGTCTTTGAACGAGGAAGATGCAAAACTATGTTTTTAAATCTTTTGATTTCAATTATTTACTAAACTACGTAATTTTAAAGGATTTTTTTTTACTTTTTGAATAAAAATTATGCAAAAGCACGTCAATTCAATTTTTGCATTTTTTTTCAAAAATGATCTTATGAGCGGTTTTTCATGTTTTTCTTAAAATCACTTATCCTGCAAATACAGAGTTGTGCATCTAATGTACTCATATAAAAGTCACATTTTATAATGACATTGTTGCTTAGAAAATGAATCTTTTCATTGGCAAGGCAAAATCGAATGTAAAGTGACATTTCTTTGTGAAAAGAGACAGGTCAGTGTGAAAAGAAATTAATTATTTTGTTTTGTATTTAAAATAATAAAAAATTAAATGATCGTAGAAAAAGCATTGTATTTCACTTGTGAGTAAAGCTTTCTTCAATTAAACACTCGCATGAAAAAGTCGCTGTTTAACACTTAACAACAAATAACTACCGTAAACACGGGTGGCTTTGCACCCCGCGGGTGACTAACCTTTTAATTAAAAATATTTTCGCGCGATAAAATTAACATTTATAATTTGTTGGTCTAAACCTGTCGATTAAGCGATTCTATTGAGTTTATATTACAGGAAAATCAGTGTTGTAAAGAAATAAATGGAATTTATTACACTTTAAAATTGTTTATATTGCATCAGTGCAGAACTCTTAGAAATACACGCGGTACAATTTCTATATTAGGCGCAATCCTTTGGAATGATGATCCTTGGTTAACTACAGGTCGATTTTTTATTTTTTTTATCGGTAATCCCTTGCAATAGGTCGTTACTAACATGTGTCTAATAAAAATAAAATAAAATAAAATATTGACTTAATTTTATACGGAAATTACTCTGTGAGACAAAGTTACCCGCAATCAGTTTTTAATTTGTATTTTTGAAACTCAGCCCTACATAATATTATAACATAGTTATTATGATAATATAATAATATTATAACATAGTTATTATGAAAGAGCAACTTAAGACTCAAATTTTGGTACTGATCACATCATTAGATTTATGTAGAAAAAAGCATAATGCACAAAAAAGATTTATCTCCAAAAATTAAAAAAATTAATTTTCAAAAGAGGAGCTGCAGCTAGAATTCTGGTAAATATAATTTTTAAGTCACCGGTCCCGAACAAGAAACTGCAATCAGTTTTTGGTGGCATTTTTATGTGACTTAAATCTCGTTCAGGCGTGTGTATTATGGAAAGATTGACCAGATTAGCAACCAACTTTATCATCAAGGACGCTAACAAAGAAAACGAATTATGTTTGTAAGTTCAGGGCAATAGAAAATTCAAGTAGCCACGGGTACAAAAAATACTATAGGAATATATTTTATCTACAACTGCTATGTAAATTGTCAAAAACAGTACTGTCAACTTTATGTGTATATCATTCTGAACAATGTTATTATATTATATTATTATTATATTAAAATAATAATTAATAATAATTATAATTATTTAAAGATCATAATTGGATAATTTTATATACATATAAATTATGTAACAGTTGTGCTAGGGAATTTTTGTTTGATTGGTTTGTTACTAAAGTTATGGTGGTGGCAATGTCAAATACAAAAAATAAAAAATAAGTTCAAGTGATTTAAAATTAATGCAGTCATCAGTGTTGCCAACCCAAACGAATTTTCGGTAGATTTACCGATTTCTGAAAAATTCTACCGATCTACCCACAGACCTACCGATAGACATCAATATTCAAATCGAAAATCTAAATCTTGCAATAATCCAAAAAAATAACTTTTTTAGATTAAAATACATACAAATATTATACTTAGATAATAAGTATGTGATTAAAAATGTATTTACCGACATCATTTCTACAAAACGCCTACTAAGACGGTATTGCAGATTTATATTTTTGTAGTATCATTTGTACAATAGTCTTACTACGACGATGTCGCAGATTTTCATTACACAATAATAGCATTAATTAAAACTTCTTTACCTAACGATAATAGTATATTCTGTAACAAGTTTGGAATACGGGTCGGGTTTCACGAGAGCGGAATATGCTATTTAAAGTGTGTTTCAGACTATACTTTTTCTTCGTTTTCAAAAAATACCATAACAAAATAATTTATAATTTAATCTATTATATTCCTTAAAGTGTTGCAGAATTAAATATTCTATCATCGGATGACGGAATAAACATTGGTGGTGCCATCTCTATTATCTAAAAACCAATCCAACCTCACTTTCTCCTAATTAAATTATTTTTTGTATGGTATTTTTTGGAAACAAAGAAAAAGTATAGTCTGAAACATATTTGGAATTGCATATTCCGCTCTCGTGAAACCTGACAAACTTTTCACTTAATTTAATTTTATAATGTTTTATAATCATGCTTTTTGTAACATAAAATAACTGTTTACTGGCTAAAGGACCTCAGTCAATGGCCAATTGTCAAACTTTTACTTTTTGGCAATAGAGTTTATTTATTATTATTACCTTGTTTATCACCTGTAAGAACCCATATCTTTATATTAGCCAGAATTAAATTGGCAATGGTTTGCGGCACTCCGTCCTGCAACTTGTCTTCTATGGCTGTAACCCCAATCAACACCATGTCAGTTTCGATTTCCTCGTAGATTGCGTCCAGGCGCTCGTCCCTGTCTTCAAGCGAAATGGCAGCCTCCTGATGCCTCTTTTTCCAGTCGTTGAAAAATTCTTCATCCAAGTCCCTGGATGCCAAACAGAGAGTTCTAAGACCTTCTCCAGCAAATTTCTATGAAATAACAATATTTTAAAATGTTAAAATAATATTAATATTCTTTTTTACATTTAGGTGTTCCTGGGTTTTAACTTTAACCTCATCTTCATTTGACCCCTTTAACCTTTCATAAATGACATTATCAGCCCCTTTACAGTACAACTTTAATTTTCCATCCTTTCTTAATATCACAGACATCCTTTTTCTGACGTTGTTAAAATCGAGGATACAAAGCAGTTCGTACACTTCCTTCTGGTTCATTACCTCAATGGTAATGCTGTTTGGGGATCTTTCTTTAAAAACAAAACCAAAATTCCTAGCGGCCGACACCAGCGCCGCCTCATCGGGCGACTGAGCTTGATACTCGAGTTTATTGTCGTGTTGTTCAGACATTACCGTATGACAAAGTGCCAAAAGTCTAAATAGAGGAAAATGGTTCAAATTAGAATACTATATAATTTTAAGAGGTTATTTCAATAAAACCAACGTATTTCATTTATTGAGTTAAACAGTTTGTGTTAGAGAATTATAAAGTGAATATGCAAAAGTTCTTCTAGAATTGCCTGCCTAGTTGGATTTTATAATAACCAAAAATTAGAGTAACCACATGTTAACCCTTAACAAAAATACTTAATTTTAAACATTACGTACACACTAGGTTCTTAATCAGCGATGGGAAAAAAATTCAGTAGGTATTTATTTTTTATTTAAAAAAAGATTGAATAAAAAAAGAATAATTTAATTTTTTTTAATTGATTGTTTAATTTAATTACACTGTGGTAGTTTTGAGAACTTTTTTTTCTAACCGTCGTGAAAATGGTCATTCTTACCTAATTCGAGGCCAAGGAATTCAGTGGTGACAACCGTTTTGCTAGGTTGGCTCGTAATTTCATACAAAATGCTTGTAAAGTTTTTTTCTAAACTCATAATTGGAAGTAACGTGTTTTTACTCGATCGCTATTAAAACCTGTATTTGTGGGTTTTTTGGTAGAAGAAAACCGAATCTGGCATTTATTTTGCGATACGATAAAATTTGGATACGCTTTCTATAAAAAAATTTGAAAAAAATACTTAAAAATGTGAATTCTTACCATTTTTAAAGTAAATATTGAGTGTTTACTAAAAATCACTTAAATTAGTAGTAGCCATCTTAAAATATACAACCATGTTAGCATTTGATCGGTCCATTACTTTCTATTGTTTTTTTTTTAATATCTACTAAATTAGCTTTGATTTATACCGTACCTTCATTTGCAAGCTAACCATAGGGAAAAAACATTGTAACTGGACCAGATAAGTCTTAGTCAGCACGAAGCGAAAAACGTTGTAGAAATGATTTGGACGCGTGGACAAGTAGGCTAGCATGCGCCGTAACAGTTCAACTGTTACAGTTGACCTTGTTACAGTTGACCTTGCTTCATACATCGATGCTTTATTATTGTTTTTTAATTTGTGCGGTGTAAATCTGGTAAAATTTGTTTTAGTACGCATGTCTCGACGACGCATCCAAATCATTTCTGAAAAGGTTCTCGCTTTGTGTTGACTGCGACTTATCTGGTCCAGTTACTATGCATTTTCCCTATGGTTAGCTTGCAAATGAAGGTACGGTATTTTAATCACTCAATATTTCTTAAAACAACAAATCTCATTTATTTACAATTAGTTTTTCCTAATTTAACCTTTATTGTGATTTGTGGTTCAAATATAAAATGATATATGTATCTTTTAAAGTGCAATAGATGGCGCAAGAATGAACAATCACATTGCTGTGTTTTTCACAAGCGGATTGTATTTACGTGTTTTATGTTGTTTCTTTTTTAATGTATGTTTAAAAAAATTTATTTATTTGTAAATTGCTTTATTCAAATTTTATTATATACATAATTCGTGCATTTAAAGTGTATTATTCAGTGTATTCAGTGTATTATCGAAATTTTCATAATAATATAATTTGTTACATTTGTGGCAAATTTACTGTTAAGCCGAGTCGAAAAAAAAATGAGCGACGATGTTATTGAATTTTATGAACAATATTTTAATATAGAAGTAATTCGGAATGTACTCTGGGTGCCATCAATTGCTTGTACATCGTGCATAGTTACACTAAGAAAATGGGCGAAAGGTGAAGTCGAAAGTATACCGTTTGGAATTCCAATGGTGTGGACCGATCCTGGAAACCATGAAGTTGATCAGTGCTATGTGTGTGTGAATAAGGTAAACGGACTAAACAGATTTAAAGCACGCAATTTCACAAATAAAAGTGTTCCATCAGCACAAACGCCTTTACCACATTCCGAAAACGTTCCGATCCCAAAGTTAGCAAGTCCGGGAGAAAATTATGTGCCACCATCATTTGATTTTGCATCAGAATCACAATTATTGTATCAGCCATCTAACATTACATTACCTTGCAAACATATTGAATGTACACAAAATCGCTTGGATATGATGGCACGCCAACTAAAATTATCACAAAAACGTCAGGTTGTGTTGGCACAGCATCTCAAGTCACTAAATATTTAATATCCAACTAAAAAGTGGTAAAAATTCACATTTTTGGCTTTTTTTTTAAATAGTATGTAAAGTGTATCCAATTTTTATCATATCACAAAATAAATGCTATATTCCGTTTCTTCCTACCAACAAACCCCTAAATACGGATTTTCATAGCGATCGAGTGAAAAACACATTACTTCCAATTATGAGTTCAGAAAAAGACTTTAACAGAATTTTGTATGAAATTACGAGCCATCCTAGCAAAACGATTGTTAGCACTGAATTCCTTGACCTCGAATTAGGTAAGAATAACTAATTTCACGACGGTTAGATTTTTCAACTACCACAGTGTTATTATTGTTAGTTATAAATTTAGTAATTATTGAACAAATAATATTAGGTATTCATAAAAATAGCAATTATTTAACAATCAGTTAATTATTTGAATATAATTGTGGAATAAAAACTCCTTTTTATGGTTTATTGCTTCTTTAAGAGCACTTTTTAATCATATTGGACACCTTTAAAGCAATTTTAATTATTAAGTTCATTTAAAGCATATTTATAATTTAGGACTCTTTTAAAGAGATTAATAAATATGCTTAACATTCTTATAGATATATGGATAAGTAAGTTCATCATAAATAAATAAAACAATAATTTGCCTCTAGATTTTGTCTTATTATACCTATTCGTCATATGTATGTGAAAAAAATGTATAATCTTATAATTGAGGGGCTCGGTGCAAGAACCGGGTATCTCCATATTCGAAAAATGTTGAGTAGACATGAAAAACCTTGTTAAAAATTATTTTATACAGTATAATTTCTGCGGTATCTCCTGTATCTGATATATTTAGTTAACGCTAACGTGGATCTACACGGTTTGTGCACCGAACGATGCGGGACTAGTAAAGGGTGTATCTTCATATACCTTAACTCAATTTAGCAAAAATATGGAGATACCCGGTTCTTGCACCAAGCTCCTCAATTGTTATATAAAGTACTTACAGAACAGTGATTAATAATAGTTACATATAGGGTTCCAATCTAAGATGGGCCATCTTAAATTTTGGTTGTTCCGGGACATATTAACTTATGGGGTTTTCAGTAAAATGCAATGTATGCATTGTAAGCCGCATATAATTCACGAATTTCAATTTTTGCATACGTATGCAATACAGGGATATTTGCAATTAGTCTTGCCGACCGTAAAAATGCTAAATCTAAACAAACCATACGTGATGCGATCCGAGAATAGGGACCTAGTGTCCCAAAACTGATTTTTGTGAATATCATTATTTTAAGTAGAGTGGTAAACAATAATTTAAAAGGTCCAGTTAAAATTTGTTTATTTAAAAAATTAACATTGCTATTATTTTTTAAACTCGAGCGTTACTAAACAAACGCCTATGCCGAGTGAAGTTCAATCGCTTCTCCTATAAAATTTGATTTTGGATGCTAGGTTCTTGATTTCGGATCGCGTCATATATATCTATAACGCCTATATGTTCTTGCCGTAAATGAGAGATGCCCTCTCTTTAAATTGAGGAAATGGAAACATTTGCGCATGTGCCTCATAAAACCGGCCAATAAGTATTGACAACTTGCTTCCAACTTGAGATAGAATATATGCAAGGGGCGTAGTCAGTCAATCACAGATTATAAAGGTTGTGATCCTAATAGGATTGAGAAACTGACATTTAGGCCGTAACTACTGTCGCTCAATTTAGTTATTAACTACTATCATGGGCTTAAAAGTTACCCTAAAAAAACAACTGGATATACGAGGTGTGTTCAGAAAATAACGGGAATTTATAAATTTCGCAAGTTCGGAGAGTCCAGTTGTCATAAAATTTTCTTTATTATGTTGATATACATGCCCCTAAAGCAGTGGCGGCTGGTGGATTTTATGTATACCAATATCTCAGTTATTAGACATGGGACCCACACCAAATTTATAATAGTTTATAATGACATTAAATAAACAAGTTCGGCGAAAACAGAATTTAAATTGAAGTTTGCGAAAAAAAGTTAGTTTTTCCTGTCGCCTCACCCGCCTCCAGGCCCCCCTATTTGAGATAATTTAAATTAAAGTGGTGCAATTTATTATCTACTATAATTTATCGACAAATTTAAAATTATATTTAAAAAATCCAAATATTACAGGTTTTATACCATTTTAAATATTTTTTTGAGTAAAACAAGAGTTTCCAAAAGGCCGTGAAGACGTTGAAGATGACAAACGCCCCGAACGCCCAAGCACATCAACATCCGATAAAAACGTGAAAAAAGTGGAAGAAATGGTAATGAACGATCGCCAAATCACAATCAGAGAAGTCGCTGATGATGTTGGCATATCGATTGGCTCATGCCATTAAATTTTTTTAAATGTTTTAGGTATGAAATGCATGGCTTTTGCACCAAGATAATGCATCTGCTCACACTTCATTGCTTGTTCGTAAATTTTTGGCCAAAAACAATACTGTAATGATGTCCCTATTCGCCCGACATGGCTCCGTGTGACTTTTTTCTATTCCAAAAAATTAAGAGAATCTTAAAGGGCCGTCGTTTTGCAAGCATAAATTATATTAAAAACGCATCGCTGAAAGAACTAAAGGCTATCCCAAAGATTGAGTTTGAGAAGTGTTTAAAGGATTGGAAGAAGCGCTGGCACAAGTGCATAATATCTAATGGGGACTATTTTAAAGGCGACAACATTAATGTAGACAAATAAATATTTTTTTCAAAAAACGAAAATTCCCGTTATTTTCTGAACACACCTCGTATATATTTTTCAATCCCTGGGCTTTTCTTGGTCAAAAATAAATATAATATTACCAATTAATAATACTTAAAACAAATATATGTTGGGATTTAGTTGCTAGATTATTTTTAAGAATAAGAAGTCCGTAAACTTTAAATTAAAACAAGTCGTTTTTAAAAAATATAAAGTTAAACAACAAATACATCTAAAAGTAAATACAATACGTCTTAATACACGACGGTCACGTTAAATCTGATTTAGGTACTATTACAAATCGTTGGGGATACTTCACATTCCCACGCATCTATTTAGTTAGAAAATTTAAGTTTTTTCGAGGGACATTCGCCCCAGACAAAGCTCTATAACAACGCAAAACCCAACAAAAGTCTCCTAAAAGTAATGCACATTAATGTATGCTCTATAAAAAACAAAATAAATGAATTCTAACATTTTATCCAATGTCAAAACATTTTTTAAAAAATAATGAAATTCAAGGCTTGGTGTTAGTTCCCATTAAGCAAGGAGTGAGCACAACCAAGGTGGCTCACTCATCCTATGCAAAGATAAATATAAATCAAAGTAAAACTTTGATTGCATCTCGTATTTTAGATTTTTATTATTATTATTTTTATTCTTACTATGTACCTGACGTGTGTTATAATTTTGTAATTTAGTACACGAATAAATATTATTATTAGTATTATAATATAATATATTATAGGCTATAGGTTTTATAACAAGTATATAGGTAAAACTCGAGGTAAAATTATAAACCATTTAAGAATTGTTTTTTTTTATTTATTATTTTATGTAGATACCTAATGTTTATAATAAATAATTTTATAAATTTGTATTTGTATTTTTATAGCTCAGGACCAAAGTATGTATAATGTATAAAGAATAATCAATTATATTAATTTTTTTTCAAAAGTACTAATAATCTTTACTCGTGTTTTCACTATTACTAGTCGTAACCTCTCTTTAAAAATGTATTTATGAGTAAAGTACTTACGAGTAAATATTTTAAGTATTTGTACTTAAAATTTTACAAATACTTTTTTTAGTACTCGTGCCCAGCTCTGGTAATAGTTATATTTTTTAATAAATGAATATTTAAATAATTAGCATTGATTTTTTTACTGAATTTTTAAATAGTTAGGAATAATTTTTTCTCTAATTACCTATGTCCTAAATATTTACAAAATTAGCATTAATTGTTTCCTCAATTACTAAATTTTGAAATAATACCTTTTCTTGCTAATATAAATTATGAAGATAACAAGTAATAACAAGTAATTTCTTTTTTTTATAACTATTTTTCATTTCAAATTGATTGACGTGTTTCTTATACACAATATTAACCAATTTAAAAAAATATTTTTATGGTGTCCATTATGGCCTACTTTATTTTTTATATCCTTAAAAACATAACTGCAAAGTTAAGGTAATTTTTTTTTTAAATACAATTCTAATTATATATTTTTTTTAGTAGATTGTGAGTGAGGTAATTACTAAGATTTTGCCGCCAAGTTTTATGTATTATTTTTTTAGGCATTTAAATAGAATATTTTTAAGATTTTGACAACCAACATGATGACATTTTAGCAGCTGAAATTTAATTTACCTTCATTTTTTTTGTTCTTTGGTCTATAATAATTTGACTTTTGAGCTAGTAATATTATGACTTGATATAATAATATTATGAAAATAATAAAATAATAATATGAAAATTATTACGTAAATTTTTTTTGTGAATCAGTAACTCATTATAAAATGAGCAATCTAAATTACTTACTCCTTTTCACTCCATTGGCGTAAAAATGTGTTTTACTCCTATGAAATGGTATTACTAACTAAATTTACATCGGTCTCCCACCCAAATATTTGGCGCGGAATTTGATAACCGTCACTGTATTTTCGACACCCCAGTGTGTACGTTCAGGGTTAATATGAGGCAACTGAATGCAAATTTCGATAACAAGTATTGACTTGAGTTGATTTGACAAAAAGAAAACAATTTAAAGGACACAAAAAATTTGGCACAAAAATGTTAGTATTGCAATAAATTAGATCAAATAAAAAAGAAATAAATAATTTATTATAGCATACCTGAAAAAACTAAAAACTTCTTCATCTTTCCTTTTAACCGCCTCCAGTAGGTGCATGTCATAAAACTTAAACTCTGGCTCGTAATTGGGATTAAATGAAAAATCCAACGGTTCGGTCTCTTCCGTAATCTCAATTAAATCCCCTGTTCTTTGATCAAAAACGTCCCCGTAAGAGATTCCTCCAATTGAACATTTGTTGAAAGTCATTATATTTTGCGTTAGCGTTCCCGTTTTGTCTGAGAATATGTACTCTATTTGACCCAGTTCTTCGTTTAAAGTAGTAGTTCTCGCTTTGGCATGGGTACTGTTTTTACTATAGAACATTTGTTCATCCCAATTAATTAAAAAACTTTGCACAAATCTTATTACCTCCACTGAAACGTACAGCGAGATAGGTACAACGGTGTTCAAAACTATTGCGTATGAGAAAAAAACAAGAAGGGCAATGATCGTGGCGCCACCCAACGGTTCGGAAGGCACCAGTGTGTCCCATGGTAGGAACGTTTGAAAGTACCGGCCAACGAGCGACTCCCATATGCCGCACGCTACCATGCAGAAAAGGCACATCGACAGTAAAAAAAATACTATCTGTAATTCAAAGCAACAAAAATAAATAAATAAAACAATTTTATACAGAATTTAACATGTGCATTTAATTTTGTAGGTACTGAATATAAATATATTTTTAATATTTCAAATTGGTACTCCTCTTCAATGCCTTAATTTTACTTTAACATTTTCATTTAAATGTTAGAATTATAATTAACAATACCAAAGAAAACAGAGAATTTGAAATTTTAAAAACAAAACAGCATTTTACGAAAATAATTAATTTGTGCTAAATAAACTAAAAACAATTGTTTTACTCAAGGTAGCCAAATATAAATTTAGGGTACCTAGAATTTCCCAACTAAACCCCCAAGTTTTTGACGTTGTCAAATTCCGAATAAAAAAACGTATGTTTTCTATAGCAACTGTTAAGGTGCAATTTCATATCTACGCCAATTTTTTAGCGTTAAAACAGTCACGTGGTCACAGCTCACTTGACTTTCATCGTCAAAATAATAAAGCTAAAACGATTTTGGCTTTTTTCTTTGACGTTGTTAATATGACGTAAGTCATACAATTATGTCGGTTATTTAAAAACAATAATTATTCAATATAATTGGTATAAAATAAATAAAATATTAAAACTTTATTACGAACTGTTGAAAGCTGAATAACCATAAAGTTTAACAACTTGGAAGTATTTTGATAATGTTTATTTAACGTAAATATTTTTAATCTTAACTAAATTTTACTTAAAGTCATATTTTTAGTATATTAAAACCACTTCATTATCGTAAATTGCCTGGAAACTTATAATGAAAAAAATTAACTTTAAATGAAAAATAAAACTAAAAGGGTAGGTAATATTTCTGAAAGGCCATTATAAATTACAAACTGGCTATTTATACGTCCGACGTATACAAAATTTGGTATACGTCTTGTGCTTTCATTGGCTAGTTTATTATTAGCGTCTAGTTCCAGCGCCGCACTGTGGGCCAGGATTCTGTAAAACATTGAAAAATATCAAACTCAACAAATGTATCAAATTTTATAATGTAATTATCAAAAACAAAGAAAAATAAGTTAATTTCACTTATAAACAGCTTCTCAGACAACGAAATATTGTTAGACCAGAGTAAAATTTAACAATATTTGGCTATTTTGCAAACTTTACCCACCAGGGCGAAATTGTAAAACTTATTGAAGATCTTGGGTTTTGTAATAGAAGATATAGGATGTCATAATTGAAATAATGTCACAAATAGAACTTTAAGAGCCTATATATCTATATATTATTTATTTTTCAACAGTTTTTAAAAAATAATATAGATTTTCATAATCTTATGGCCCCAATAAAATCGAAACAAAGCTTGAAAAAGCTGAGTTATGCAAAAAAATTATTTAAAATGCTATATTTTAAATTTAAAAAAATCGATACAAAGCCAAAGGTATAAGATTGAAAAAGCTGAGTTATGGAAAAACATTATTTACCCATTTGTTTGGGACTCACCCCTGTAAAATCTTTATTTATTGTGCGATTTTAACCGGATTTGTTTTAAAGTGTAGATATTGATAAACTGTATTTTTGGAGCAAAAAACGACATATTTTTACAAAATACAACGCCTACTATGTCAGTTTTTAAGAGTAAATTTTTAAGAATTTATATAAGTGATATTTTTAAACAAAATCTAAGCACGGCACTGGATTCACCACCCCTCGAAACGACCTTATACTAAATCTTATTGAAAAATGTTAGGTATAAAAATGCATAATATTAACTACAACAATTTATTCTGTTAAGTTATCCATGAAAATAACATTGAAATAAAATTAAACTTATAGTAATAGTGCCATGTGGTGAATCCAGTGCCGTGTTTAGATTTTGTTTAAAAAACTTGCTAATATGAATTCCTAAAAATTTACTCTTAAAAATTGTCATAGTAGGCCTTGTATTTTGTACAAATATGGCGTTTTTTGCTCCAAAAATACAGTTTATCAAGATCTACACCTTAAAACAAATCCGGTTAAAATCGCACAATAAATAAATATTTTACAGGGTTGAGTCGCAAACAAATGGGTCACACTGTATATATATTTTTTAATATATTTTTTTATATTAAAAAAAACTCAACTATTTTGATTTTTAATAATAAATGTTTCTTGTTTTCAGGGTATTTTAAAATTACTGCAAATTTATAGGCACCACAGCTCAAACGATTAAACAAAAAAAAATTAAAAATCAATTAAAAACACTAAAATTGCCTTAAATATAACATTTCGAAAAAAAAGTCAAAACTTTCAAAATTACAGATCACATATTCAAAAAGTCTTTTACAATCTGGGCCTAATAACCTTTTAACTAATACCCGAATAGGGCTTTATTTTGAATCAAATTGTAAAATACCACACAGAAAATCTTGCGTTTTCTCCTGGATAGGCAAAATTCGGCAAAAGTTTTTTTTTCGGTAATAAAGCTTAAGTACTGGAGAGTTTAAGAGCATCAACAAAAACGTGTACTTCAGTGTCGATCTTGATATATATCTGGTGAAATATCCATGTGATATGTTAATTTTTGCTTTTACATGCGTTCACTAAATCATTATTTTTTTTTTGTAAATTCGCAAAGAAATCCATAAAATTTAAATGGTATAAAACCTTGAACTTGCCTGCATCTGGCCCACTCATAGTTTCTGTCAAAAAGTTAATCCACCTTAAACTGTAATGTCTTAAACTTAAGCGATTTGTTTAAACAAAATAAACCAGACAATAAGTATTAAATTTACCGACATTTGTCAAACCCGCGTGTGTCAACATAAAAACTCACGGACATATTTCTGGTGTTTTTGTAAGCTTAATGGTCTACTTGACCGTTTTTAGCATAAAAAAACTTGTTGTTCCATCATTATTAAAAATTGACTTTTTCAATGTTTAGAGAATTTCTGGCCCACAGTGCGCCGGCTACTTTTCGCAGACATGCTTCACACGTCACACACTGTAAACTGGTATTATTTTCAAAACAAAAGGAATTATTCAATAAGCTCGGTAGCTCCGATGGAAGAGCGCCCGCTTTGTATGCGAGAGATACCAGGTTCGATTCTTGGCGCCAACAACTTTTTTTTTATTTTTATTTATATAGCGAAAAGTATTATTATTTAATTTTACATTAATATTCATTTTGCTACAGTTATATAATATAATATGTAATTATATGAATATTCCTTCGTTGAAAAATTGGGCGGGGGGGCCAATGGGGCGGGGTCGGTTGGGTTGGGTTGTTGAGTTTGGGTAGGTTTGGGTTGGTTTCGCTCACTTTTGCCCATTTAAGTTGATTGACAGTGAGCGAAACCAACCCAAACTCAACAATGAAAGCTCAAGACGTATACCAAATTTTTTATACGTCGGACGTATAAATAGCCACTTCGTATAAATTAATAAAGATGACATTGAGTACTTAACAAAAATTTATATAATCCTGGATCTAATAATTTTTAACAAAGAGAGAACAGCGAATACGTTTAAGGCTTTACTGAAAAATTTCAATTGGCTCTTTCCATTTCAAAACGACCAGTATGTGCTTATCATGATATTCTATTTTTTTGGCGATTTGTTTTTTTGCGGTAAAACTAGATTTTTTCCGTTGACCAATTTTTGCTTTTACTGAATAACTCTTTCCATTAAATGTAACAAAAATTTTAAATTAATTGTGATAAATTTTTATACGATAAAAAACGAAAAGTAAAGAATTTTGTTAAAATTTAATTTTTCAAAAAGTGTATATAAAACCTGAAAATAAATAAGAATCCAGTAATTGCTCCCATACAATACTCGAAGATTCCATCTAAGTTGTTCTACGCTTATTATTGAAGATGCAAAAATACTGAATGATTATAACGCATTGTTTTTTTTGTAAGTTGTACATATTGTAACGTTTTTACGGTTTGTAGTGTGAATTAAAACACGCACTGGTTTATTAACGAACTAAACGATTTATTTTATAACTTAATTACACTTAAAACTATAAAACTAACTAAACATTAACTACTAATAATTTATATATCACTACTGTACAAGAGTCTATTTATTTGCACGTTTATTTAATTTATTTCGTCGCGAGTACTAGAGCTTGACTTTTCGACGCTTCGCACTGCCTTATATATTCAATGCTTACGTGACCCAAGTCATGTAAGCGCCTTCCTGAATATTCCAGCGAGCTCCGCACCGCTCTCGATCGTTCGAGCGCTGACTCACCGGCCATGAGTCATCATTCCGAGATCCTGAGGGGTACTCGCTACAATATCATTAATCTTTGTAACTGATTGCTAGATTTGAGAGGCAGGTAATATACTTAATACTCGGAAATTTCCTATAACTATATGTATATACATACATATATTGTATTATTTTTAGAAAATAGGTCAAAATTAGCATTAAACTGACAGATAAATAACCTTAATTATTTGTATTCAAGTGTCATGTATGAAGCATAGTACACATTTCAGATGAAGAATAATAGTTATTTGTTTTACAAGTGTTGAAAAGCGACTTTTCATGCGAGTGTTAAGTTGCTCACAAGGCCGTCAGGCCGAGTGTGCATTAAAACGAGCTTGAAGAAAGCTTTTCTTACAAGTAAAACACAATGTTTTTATGACCATTTTGATTTTTACAAAAAACAAAATAACCTAAAAACGTGTTTGACAGCTGTTAAAATTACTTTCATCTTATTCTTTTAATTTTTAAGGTATAAGTTACTTAAAATCAATAAACTTACCTTCTCAATTTAAATAAAGGCACTAAAAATTAGAATTTATTATACAAACACAATTAATTGTGTTCTAAATGATATTTAAACATACATATACAAATACAATACAAATTTTGAAACGAATGTCTCGATGCTGTCAATTTATTTTCATACAGACCTGTCACTTTTCACACAGAAATGTCACTTTACATTCGTGTTTTGCCTTGCCAATGAAAAGATTCATTTTCTAAGCAACGATGCCAATACGAAATGTGACTTTTACATAGTGGTCGTAGA